CTCTCTCTCTCTCTCTCTCTCTCTCTCTCTCTCTCTCTCTCTCTCTCACAATGAGTGAAGATGGAAAACAAGAACCTTACTACATCATACCAGGTAAACCTCACACACACACACCACCTTTCTCAGACTGGCTCGTTAAATCTCCTTTCTTTCTTCTTGTCCAGAGATCGGTCGGGGTGATTTGCCGGTTTACCATGTCTATTCCGTGCCAGGTAAACTCTCACCGGATGTTACACTTCTTGAATTAAAATCCATTGGCAGTGCCGGGTGCACTCCTACCGCTACCTCACCGTCCTCCAGCTCACAGCTCAGGGTCATTTTGTGCAAGGGAATAGGCAAAATGGTTACCCCCATCCCACGATTGAGGATTGTCCACAGAGTCCACTATGTAGGAGTCATAAGTCCCTGTACTCTGTACTCCTGTAGAAGCTTAACATTTAGATGTCTACCCCCTCTGATTCTCATCTTTAACAGCACAATCAGCCTCCCACTGACCTCTCTAGTGACAGTAGACGCAACTTTTACTGCTGTCAAAGTTGCCTCAGGGTTTAGGGTCAGAGCTTAATGAATGTCTCAGGTGGAATGTGGCAGCGCTAGCCTGATTCCCTCTCCAACCAGAGTGATCAAACACAGCATATATACGTAGCTATTCTGCCCGGGAGTGAAATTTTACAGGTGCTCTAAAACTACCAAATCACACAGGTCATCAAAAATAATTACATCAAGTAAGTTAACCAGCGTTTACGTCGAGTTGTCATATCTCCTTACCCAAAGACAAACGATGGCCCTCCAGATCTAATTTGGCCTTTACTTTTCGCTGTCGAATCTTTCTTAACGTCCAATTCGCATATCGTAGGTGTGAAGTGTTGTAGAGTAAAAAGTGTAACAAAGGGATGAGCAATGCAAAAGGGGTTTGCAGGTGCTGGCAGGGAAGAGAGAGAGAGAGAGAGAGAGAGAGAGCCACACTGGAAGCTGGGGCCTTAATATTTCTTATTAAGGAATAATAATAATAATAATTTTCTTATTCCTTTCTCTTTCTTCTTGTCCAGTTCAAGCTCAGGCTAATGTGCCGGTTTACCCCATCTATGAAACGCCAGGTAAACTCTCACCGGATAGTAACACTTCTTGGAAACACACAAAAAAAAAAAACCTCACCTGCAATATATTCTAGTATAAATAAAGATTGGTTTCCCTCTCGTCTTCTCACCTCTCTTTCGCTCTCCCTCCTCTATACGACCCTCCTTCTTCTTGTATTCTCCCTCCATCAGAACACAACAGCAGAGGAGACGGAAAGAGTGTTGTGAACTATGAGGAGAAGTTGGGGCGCACTCGCGGCATGACGACCTGCACCTCCTGCCAGCAGCAGGTCATGACCGGCATCACCTACAAAGTAGGGAGGTTTGCCAAGCAGATGTGCGTATTCTTCGCCATCCTTGGGTGAGCGTGTGCTTCAGGGCGCTTGTTGACCTTTTGGCACGGTGACTGTTTGAGGGCTGTTGGGCCCCTACAGAACGCCTTAACAGGGCCGGGTTTAGAGTCGAGGGAGATACGGGCATGTGGGCCAAAATATTGAGGGGGATGTGTTCCCTGCGGACTGGAAGACATTTGGCAAATCTTGAATCCACAAGGGAAAATATACCTTTTACACTGAAGCACTTAAGATGGGCCTATATGTTCACAACTAGATATGTTTTTTTCATTTGACATTTTAGATGAAGAAGACTACAAAACAAGAGGGAGGAAATGTGAAAATTGGCGCAATACGTTTGGGAGATCATGCACCAGTAACACTAACAATAGATTTGGTTAAAGAACACCATTAAGCTACAAAATAGATTGCACACAGTCTTTACAAACTGCGCACATATTTTGCAGTTTGATCCTGGTTTGATTTAACCGGCCACAGTTCAACACATGTGATGAATAGTACAGGCTTCGTAAGGTAAAATTAAAATCACTCAAAAAAATATAGCATACAGAAAACTACGGAAGCTGAGAACGACCTTGCTGGCGTTTTTTTTTTAATGCTCTTATCGCGAGAAAACGTCTCCTCGAGATTACGTGATAATCAACTCGTTAGCTCGAGAAAACAAAAGGTCATTTTCTCTTATTACAGTCAATGCTTAAGACCATAGACTGTATATAAGATGCCCCATGTTTATCGTGTTTATAAAAAGTATATTAAAGAAAAGAATGTATGTAAAAAGTATCAATACACAGTCTATGAGCTTACAGACAGAGTTAGCGAAGTTAACGGAATAGATAGTATGACTACCTCCAGTTTTTCAAAATAAGGTGTTCACCTTAATAAGTAAATGCACAAATTAAGATTTACATGTCATTTATCCCAGCAAGATTCATTGCAACAACAAAGGGGGTAATTAAGATGCATTTTGCTGTATGCAAAGAACAAAAATGCTGTGACTGCGATTAAACACACAATGAAAGGAAAGTGATGACAAGAAACAGGCGGCAACAATCAGGGTTATCACACAGGTGGGAAAAACACAAGTGCAGGAAGTGAAGTGTATTTCAAACATGAGCTGTGTTCCAAATCACAAACTATTTTTATTTTGTACTGTTAGTACAGCCGCCCTTACAAAGTATGTGCTGTTGCATGTGGCATGCATTCAATTGGGGGCATTCCACTTCCTCATAACATGGCACCTTCTGTGATGGTGGGTAGGTATAGCCAGAAAAGCCTGCTGGCTTGCATACTGCAAAATGCAACCGCATGTAGTACCCTGGTATTTTTGGCATACTGCATTTGAAGTACTATGTAATGGGACATAAATCTTTTTTCTGGCATACTTAATAGTGTGGTAGTTTGGGTATTGGAATGCAGAGAATAGACACAGGTGAGTATAATATAATAACCATAAACTACAAATGCAAAATGGTCAAAACAAAACAAGTACTTTCAAACACATGACTGTGTGTGTGTGTGTGTGTGTGTGTGTGTGTGTGTGTGTGTGTGTGTGTTGCAGGCTGCTAGTGTGCGCGTGGTTCCCATGCTCCTGCTTCCAATTCCTTTATACGTGAAAGACTTCAAAGATGTGCAGCACACGTGCCCCCTCTGCTACAGAGAGCTGCACATTGACAAGAAACGATGCCGTCAATGCTGAACACGAGGGCAGAAAGGGACCCGTGCAAATATGAAATAACATCCCGTTACCTCTGTCTTGACATTTACACCATTTTTAAAATGGCAAATTAAATGGCGAGTTAAATCAAGCACACCCTGTGCACTTTTTTTCCAGGTATCCTCCTTTTTATCCATTTGAACAGCACCTAAAACTAGCCAGTACATTTAAACCTGAGCAAAAACTTGAATATTTGCTCCTCTGCAGTTATTGCACAGTCTGAATATTTTTTGGACATTTACTGCGCTGAACTAATATGTACATGTATTTTACTGAGAAATCTTTTATATGTTTTTGTTTTATCTTGTTTGAAAAAGATCTGTCTACTTCCCTAAATAACAGTTTGTATGTATGTATGTGTGACTTGGATGAAACTGGGGAAGCTTTGACTTCTATTTACTATTATGAACCGTTTAACATTATTTCTCTGATAAAAGTAGATTATATTCTGTATCTGTTGTGATTGTGTATTTTCAATCACCTGACCCGCTGGTTCTTTCAGTCACATCACACAACCTCCCTCATTTTAATCTTTACTTTTCAAGACAACATGGTCGAGAAGTTCTTAAAGATAAAGAAAAAAAAGCGGTGACATTTTTAGCAAAGCAAGAAGCTAAATCGATGCTAATGTTGGTCTGTTTGTAGATGAGGTACTACAAACTGAAAAATCTGAATTACTGGATGAATTGTCGTGATTATGATACAACCTTTAGTGATCTGTTGATCTTTCATCATCATCAGGTCAAAGTTTGAATTTGTCCAGGACTTTGGTTTATGACCAAAAAACTGCTAACATGTTAGCATTTAGTTAAATCTTGGAGATTTTCTATTAATATAAACATCTGTTAGGTTACTATATTGCTGATGGAGGTATGTTTGAGCTTATGTTATGGCAATATTTATGTATTTACAGTGTTAAGAACTGGGAATCTGTGGAGACATTCCCGAGGAAAACTGCATTTTTCTCCGTTGAATACACCCGAAAAAAATTGAGCTATACACACAATTAAAAAAACAACTTGAAGCTTGTGTATGAAGGAGGCTCCAGACCGCTGAACTCTGAGCACAATAATCGTTTAAAATAAATTCTACATGAAGCGGGACTGAAATCTTAAGCTTCATTTCTTCCTTTATGAAGCACGCTGTCTGGCTCTGAAGTTTGTGAAAACATGTTCTGCATTTAATTTTAGAAGACTCTCAGCCATCCAAAGAGGAGGAGTTTTAGGTCAAAGGCAACTTTAAATCTTTTGAGATTTTGGGAAATACTGTTAAAACGCTTTCCAGCCACGAGTTGAGACTAGATGAGAAGATTCTCATCCAAGTCTCCACCCAAAAAGCAAACAAGTGTATTTCCCAAAGTGTCGAACTGCTCCTTTAAAGTGTTTCAGGTCAAACCTGGTGTGGACAAGCAGCAGAGCGGTGTTTTTTTGTTTTTATAGAAAATTTTATTCAACATACATTTTCCAGCAAAAAGGCAATATACAGGAATAGTTGTCGTACACTGCTGCTACACTGAGGATTTTAAACTGGAAAAGATCAAATTAAGGTGTGATTCTGCAGGTTATCTTTGAACTGCACTTAACAAGACAAAACCAATGCAGTTAGTTTTGAAAAGAAAAAATAAATCCAAATGTAACAGAAAAAAATCGTCAATGGTACATCAGGAACGCAAAAAGAAAAAAAGAGAAAACCCTACACACAAGAAATATGAACACCTGGCTCCTTCTGTACCCAACAACAAAGGCGTGTTTCTCTTTAATTTTACACGTTCATATTTTTAAATATACAATTCTTAAATGTTGTCTTTACAGAGCCAGCTATGCACTATTAGGAGAGCATTCCATCGGTGCTTTAAAAGAAACAAAAGAAAAATGAATTCATCGAGATTAAAGTGTTTCTTACAATGCTGGTTTCGTCTCTACACAGTCTTCAAACCAGCGGGCTCAAAGCGTCTGCAGCTCTCTAGCAAGCACAGCGCAGCTACTGCTCCCAACCACCTGGAGGCGACAGTTTCAATCAAGAGAGAAGATGACGCAGCTCGTGTGTGTGTGTGCGTGCATGTGCGTTTAGAGGAGGAATGACGGAGTAAGACATTAAACGCCCCTGAAAAACAAAAGGAAGAGAAAGTCAAAGGGGGGCAATGTCTTTGCATGGGAGTGTGTGTGTGTGTGTGTGTTCCTTTAAAGTCACGGAGCAACTCAAAACCACAACCAGAATGTGCATTTGTCCGTCCTGAGAAACCTCTGACATTGAGTGCCTACGTGCAAGATGAAATACAGACAAATATCCTCCTTATTTTTTTTCCCCCATTTATTTTTTTAAACAGATGCTGTGGATTGTTATTTTTATTATACAAGATCTGCAGAAAGACAAAAAAAAAAAAAAAAAAAAAAAAAAAAAAAAAAAAAAAAAAAAAAAATGAATTCAGTTTCCCTCCAAACAAACTACGTGAGAAAGAATTGCGCGTAAACTCGGAAATACTTGCTTTGTTGCACTAAAAGGATCGGAGGAAAGAAAATCTAAAGAACCACATCGGGGTAACTAGTGAGCCTCGGGAAATGACCATCGGGCCCTCTCCCCCAGTCCTGTCAGTTAGTCCTCAAACATCCTTCCATCTAACTCGCCACACAGCAGTACGACGCCTCTTCACACAACTCTATTTAAAAACAACCCCAAAAAAAATCTGACGGGGAAAAAAAAACAAGCTGGTGTGTGGTGGGAGAAG